CCAACAAAGAATGATCATTAACAATATGCTCATTGCATCCCGAATCAATAACCCATGAGGAAGAAGAAACAGAACACGTACCAGGCATATTAGAAACGGGATCCGTGGAGGCTTGAGTGGAAGCTCTCAAATCAGTACTGAGGAATGATTTGAGTTGACTAAGTTGTGCGGCCGTGAGGCCCGGTATCGGACTAGAATCCGATTCTACATCAACAGAGCTGCACGCGGAGAGGACCGGGAAGCACGATCAAACTTCTTCTTCCCATTCGGCTCACCTTCCTTACGCGGGGGATAACCGATCAATTTGTAGCATGTCTCGCGGAAGTGCCCGGGCTTCTGGCAGTGGCTGCAAATCGGTTTGCCATCCGCGTCCCTCTCCCCCCTGCGACGAAATGCGGTCTAACAGGCGCTCCCCTTGCGCCTGGAAAACGGCAGCATCTGGACGAGTACGGCGACTATTGGAGATGTGCCGAGACTGCTCCTCATTCATAATTAAATGATAAGCCTCACCCAAGCTAGGGATAGGCTTCATGGCTAGGATCTGCATCCGAACAGTGCTAAAAGCATCGTCAAGTCCCATTAAAAAAATCAAATAAGCGCTCACCTTCCTTCGCCTCGCGCTGACGCCTCTTGATGTCACACGTACATCCACCACAAGTGCATTCGAGAGAGGGAGCCAACGAACTCAGCTCATCCCAATGCCCCCGCAATTTTGTATAAAACGTGGCGATGGAAGTCTTCTCTTGCTGAAGTAAGTTAATAGTACGCTTCAATTCGTACATACGAGCCGCGCTATCATGCCCGAAGCGAGCTTGGAGATCGACCCAGATATCTCTATCTGTTCGTGCAAAACGAACACTGCTCCGAATATTTTTAGTCATGGCTGTTTTGAGCCAGCCTTTCACCATAGCGTCAGCTTGCTTCCAAGCAGCATAGTCTTCTCCCCCGACGTCAGGCGCCAAAATCGAACCATCAACAAACCCAAGCTTGTTCTTGGCGATGAAGGAGTCAGTGATGTCTCCTACCCACTCTTCATAATTGGATTCAGTGAGCAGCTCACCCACAAAAAGTTGACTGGGGCTATCGGAGTTATGGATCAAGAAAGGAGAAGGCCGCGGAATGGCCTGGGTAGTGCCACTACCGCTGTCCCCGCCACTGCTCTTCGTCGAGCTGTGCATATCATGATCATCTTTGTCACCCATAGCGAAAATGGCCGTGAATCTGTTCACAACTCTGATACAATGTAGAAAACGATAGTGCGGAAACGAAAATGACACAAGAAACGAGATTTACGTGGTTTCCCCGCTCGTGAGAACGGGACTAGTCCACGGAGAACGTGAGTTCTCGGCTGATCTATTATTGATTTTAGGTTTTCAGTTGGGGCTTAACATAAGCTCTCTCCCCCTTAAATACATGCCGAGCCAAAACCCTAACAACACTAAACATGGGTCGGCTGGCTAATTACAAGCAGATCCCTACACTTAATAATAAGTACAGAGATCACAACAGAAGAAAAACATATGGTTTTAGCATTGTTTAGCAACATGATTAATTAAGAAAAAAAAAAACATAGGACGATGTGATGCCTAGAATGAACTTGTTATTAATTACTATAGTTAATTATTATATTTTATGACTAATTCAAGATTGATTGGCATAGTCACCAAGGAAGATATTGCGCCACCCAAGACACATACATTAGTCACCTTGTTTAGGTTCCATTATTTATCTTGTTTTCTCTGTTAGATAAGGGTACAACGAAAATGACATTTTTTTTTGTCACAGGCTTATTTAGGTTGTCAGAGATGATTATAAGGCTTTCATGATCGTCGTCTGGACTTAAAGAGATATATAGGATCAGGTTGGTTAAGTTAGAATGAATTTGTAATTGTACCCACGATCAAAAGAAAGCAGCTACAGAGCATTTGTTACATAAGGTATAAGGTATTGCTGATGCTAATTCGCCATTACTATTCGATGTTTCACGCTTATTTTTCACAATGATTCGAGATTTGACCAATGCTCATTGGCTGTTTTTGTTTACCATAACAGACTTTCCTTCTCTGATTTCCTCTTAAACCCAGCTCGGGTACAAGGGGGTTAACCTTAAATTGTACAATTGGCGATTTATGTTCCTATTCATTGCAATACAAATAGTTTCTATCTATATTGCGTTAGCAAGTGCTCTGATAATATAGGTAGTACCATAGATCCCCTATAACTTATTTCAATAAAATCTCCATACGATTTACATCCATATATGCAAATGAAATGACAAATCCTCACGTTCAAATATAATATTTAACGTCGATATCGAAACACTTATACTTGAATCAAACAAATAGCATCAACATCCATATTTAAACAAAACATATTACAACACATAATGACAAATATTTGAATTTATTTTTTTAATTTAATTCACCAAAGAGACATCATTTTATTTAGGGAAGAAAATTAAATAACAGTTGAACAACTGATTTTTTTGGTTTTGACTACCACTCCATAGCAAAAATATTGCAACTGATTTTGTGATTGGTAGCGCGTAAACTAGATTATACTAATTGACATACCACCGGTTTGAAAACCATAAGAACGCATGCTGATATATTTCTTTTTAGTTGCTTGAGTTATGACTATGAGCATCGTAATTCACTAAAAAAAGTTTGTTTACATTTGTATACCAATATTCCATGCTGGGTGTTACAAATAAATGAAATAAATAAACAGTTTGCTTCTTAATTTATGTCAGTCTGTTACCCATCCCGTTACCCGTAAGTGGAAAGTTTTTAGTCAAAGGAAAATTATTGCAGTCTCGGTATCACATAAAGGAAATGCTGACGCATCGAATGACGTTTTCCAATCCAGCTTCTGCTCTCTTTTTCCTCCTTCCAAACTGGCAAATTACATATTGGCAAAAGAGGGTTGAATGGAGGTTAGGGAGACATTACTCAAGGCTCTTTATTAGCCAGGCGGATTCAAATTCCAACCTACGAACTGATTCTCATGAATGATCATGTTAATAATCATTCTAACCAATAAGATTTTGTTAGTTTCATACATTCATATTGCTTAATCGTTGTCGGACTAATTGGCCTATCTTTCATAGACTTCATGTAAAGGAGATGGATCAGTTCTAGGTTGTCAATGTGCATGTTACGTCCATCAAAATACACAATAAGATTATTGATAACTTGATTTTGTCATAAACCATCGTGTAGTTACAATAACTCGAATTGTTTAAAGAATGTTAATTATAACATTTAAGCATATCAAAATATTCTGATATATATGTGTATGTTAGTTAATTAATGAAGTGATAATACACCTTGATATGCTCTCCATCGGCCACCATGCATGACTTCATATTTTGATTATTGAGTGCACATGACTTCAAACATCCTACAAAATTGGGTGGTTTTGGAGGGATGTGAAGGATGGGAAGAAGGGAGGGAACGAATATAGATTTGAGGCTCAAAACAGAAAATCTAATATATGCCACATCAAATACCTAAATGTTAGTTTGCCCAACTAACTATTGGCTGGGGATTGATATTCTCTCCTTTCTAATTTTGTGTCCGCGGCTTAATTTGATCCAAATTTCTTATTTGGTCATGTTTTCTTAATGATTGATTCTACTGCAAGCATGGATAATTAAGTACTTAATTCGGGTCATGAATCTAATAACATGGTCGTTTTGGGGGGGCGGTAAATATCTTTCTTCATCTTCACATATGTCCAGATGCTACCAACTGATGAACTCCTTAATATGTTTGTTTTGAGTTAGCTAGTTTGGGTTTAGGGTTCAACTCATGTTCGAGGCTCACATCAAGTTGACGGTTTAGAGTACTTCAGCCAAGTTCAACAATAAAATGAAAAAGCAATGGAATGATAATTTTTTAAATGCATTTTTAGTTTTTTGAGTTATTGGCATCAATCGAATCTCAAATTAGTATCGAGCAGATATCACGTTTTCAGTCAGTAGAGTTTGGGAGAGCATCAGAGCTAAGAAGCCTAAGGTTCAATGGGAAAAAGAAAAACTACTCTAGAAATCCATGTGTGCTCCTCGGAACAAAGTAATTGTATGGTTAGTTCTCTTGAACAGGATTCACACACTTGATAGAATTAGTTGTTGGAACCCTTTAGTGGTGAATTTATGCCCTCTCTGTCATTGTGCTACTGAGTCCAGGAGCCATCTCTTCTTCTTATGTTCTTATCCGAGTTGTATTAGCTTGTGGTTGGAAACTCTGGATGTATTGACTCTCGGTTTGTAAATTGGTGCCAGTTAGGAATTTTGTCCCTTTCTTGATGAGTAAGAAACTCATTCATAAAAAAAATTTACTAGGGGTGATGGCTTTATGATCCCATATAAGATTTTTTACATCCAATTCTCCGAATGCTACTCAATATGAAGTTCCGATTAGCTCTCTTCTAGCTCGTATTTCTTAGTGACCTCATACGAATTATGATAAGTGAAAGAGTAGCCAAACAAAGTTGATCCCAAATTCAAGGATGCCTCACTTAGGTGACAAGCATTACATTCTCCACTCAATACAATTTATCGTCTTTATAAAAAATGTTAATTCCAGTACGAGCGATTGTCCAAACAAACGCTACAATTGTATCCAAAACGATCATATGTCACCATATTCTTGCGGTTACAGAACTCATATGAGTTATTGTATAATATGATGCACTTGGTAATCTTGAGAATGAATTCATTTCCCTACGTAGAGTTTACTGAATTATACTACAACAAGAACCAAGTCAACGGCGGTAAGAAAAGAGAGGTAAACTTCGGGTACTAAAATGATTAGAAAATAAACTTCCCCATCCCCCGCTTAACGTGGGACCCATGTCGGCACAGACGAATGACATCTCTCTTTCCTAAGATATATTATCCAGCTGGCCAACCCAAATATTTTATATGGCCATCCTTCCTCCACGTGTCCCGCTCCCTTCCCAATTTAACTACAATTTTCCCACCCATCCCCCCTCCCATTTTCTCAGCAACCAAACGCCCTGCCCCTCTCTCTCTCTCTCTCTTTCTCTCTCTCTCCTTTCTCTAACTACCACTCAAAATTTTTCCTCCCTCCAATCAGACAGCTCGACCGACGAAACCCAGCCAAGCAGGCAGCAGCAACTAGACTTTCCCACCTGCTTCAATGGGAACCGAAATCGAAATCTTCAACGCCACTTCCATGGCGGCCGCCGGCGGCCGGTGGGGTGCCATGTCAGCAAAACGCTGCGACAGCTGTAAAACGGCGGCCGCAACGGCCTTTTGCCGCGCTGATTCGGCCTTCCTCTGCCTCCCGTGCGACGGAAGGATCCACTGCGGGAGTAGGAATGGCACCAACAATAAGCTCGTGGCCAGGCACGAGCGGGTTTTGATGTGTGAGGTCTGCGAGCAGGCTCCGGCCGCCGTCACCTGCAAAGCCGACGCCGCCGCGCTCTGCGTCACCTGCGATTCGGATATCCATTCGGTGAACCCGGTCGCACGCCGCCACGAGCGAGTTCCGATCGAGCCGTTCGTCGACTCTGTTCCCGGCGACGTTGGAAACAGAGCATACTCTTCGGGGTTCAGTACCATGGTTCCGACGGGAAACGAAGGCGGTAACGGCGGAGGAGGAGGAGGGTGCGACTACGATCACGAGGCGGATGGAGTTTCATGGATGCTTCCGGGCGGCATCGTCGGCGGCGGCGGGTTGATTCCTCAACTGAATCAGAAACTTGGGGAACAGGGGAAATCCGCCGGAGATCCATTTTTTGGCGAAATGGATGAGATTTTGGAATTTGGTTATGGAAATCCTCTGGAAGGGAGGTTTCAGCAGAGCTACAGCTGTGCTTCCGATGGAGTTGTACCAGTGCAGAGTAAGCCGCTCCCGCTCCCACTCCCGCTGCAACTGCCGGCGACTACTATGGGCCATCAGATTTCATTGACTGGTCCTGAAAATGATCTGGATTTTGGTTTCTGTCGACCGAAGGTCTCTTCTTTCAGCTACCCGACTCAAAGTTCTCTTAGCAACAGTGTAAGTTTCCCTCTGCTCCTTAGCACTCTGTTTAATGGAATGGTATCAATTTGGTCACTGTCAGATCCAATTCATGGTTAATATATATATTATATCAGTTGATTGTGATAATTATGGTCAAAGACCACGCTATGGATTAAGTTTTCTGTTGGACTAATTGGAAAATTGAATTCAATATTGATCGATCTAGTAATGAAAAGTGAGGCTTGGATCTCAAAAATTGATGTCTTGCACAAAGATCTCTTAGCAATAATAGTGTAAATGATCGAATTCCCCTGCTCCCAGAAGAAACAGAGCACTCTGTTTCTCAAAGACTCATTGAATTGGTTTTTGGACTAGATTGCAGTTCATTCTCCAATTCATCCATTCATTTTGAGAATTTGAGTTTGAAGAATGTTTGAACTCCAAAAAGTTCGCTGCTTTGGTATGGCTAGGATCTCAAAGTTTGTTTCTTTACTCAATTTTTCAGGTCTCATCATCCTCCCATGACGCCGGAATCGTGCCAGACTGGAGTTCGAATTCCATGTCCGAGATTTCGTTCTCTTTCGATCATCCAAATGTGCCCGTCTCGACTGCTCCAACTACCGCTAACCCGATTCATCATCACCATCAAGCGCCCGCCCAGCCCCTCTGCAGGGCGGACAGAGAAGCCAGGGTGATGAGATACAGGGAGAAGAGGAAGAACCGGAAGTTCGAGAAGACGATTCGTTACGCTTCTCGCAAAGCATATGCGGAAGCCAGGCCGAGGATCAAAGGCCGATTCGCCAAGCGTTCGGAGAACAGCAACATGGAACCAGATTTCGGCAGCAGCCTCTACGGCTCTGCTGTTACTGCGGCATCTCTATCTTTCGTCGGTAACTTTGACAGCCGGTTCGACCTCGTTCCATCATTTAGATGACAATGGATGGTTGATGATGATGCAGCAAAGGGAGTATATATTTACTAAACTCCCTATGCATAATTGGTGATTGTTACTGTGGTGTAATTGGTTCAAAGACTTTAGCTTTTTTTAGAATAATTGGTTAAGGTTGGTGTTTACCACTACAAATCAACTTGTATCACATCGGTTAAACAAGTAATTAAAAGATTTTATAAGGTTAACGTAATTAAAACAGTTCAAATTAGTTGAGTGAGCCACGTGGATTGAGTTTTTTGGCCCATTACCCCGTATGCCACATGCGCGCCACTCTCCCATCTATTCCAAAATTTGGCCAAGTGTTGGAGCGGGGTGGCCACCATACCGCCACTCCCATGACGTGCCAGGGATCATCAGCATTACCCCTATGGTATGATCAGTGGGTGATCATCTTGGTTGAAATTTGGCTAAATTTATAGATGGTTGGCATCACCATACCCCTTAGTGTGGTGAGGTCGGCTGGAAAGTTGGCTAAGTATGGAAGAATGAAGATGATGAGTATGGCAAGGAGCACTCCCCATGTGGTGATCAAAGGGTGGTGATCAACTTACAGCCCCCATGGTATGATCATGGATCACCAACGTACGCCCCCATGAGGTGATCATACAAGGGGGAGTTAAGTGGCAATGAGCCTCCCTATCATGCCTTAGCCATTTTTTCTCTATAGACAAGCGAAGTTATGGAGAAGATACCAAGAGCAGAGAGTCAAGACTGAAGAAGGTGGCATATTCAATGTCAGGGTAACCATCATAGCAGTTGAGAGGGTAACCGTCACTCCACATCAACGAAGTAGTTTCTTAAGATAGTTACTTCTGGTGGCTATAAATAAGAGGCGAAGATGACAGAGAAAGGGTTAGCCAAAATCACATCAGACAACAACGTGTCAAATTTATCTTTTTTATCTTTTCCTCTGCGAATTTAGCCATAGTTGTAGTTTTGAAGCTCTCGTTGAACCTCCATAGAAGTAGGGCTAATTTAATGACACCCTTGTTTGAACTTTGTTCAAATAAGTGTGAACCGTGTTGTTTAATAGTTTATTTGGAAGTAAAAAGGTGTGATTCAATTATGTTCATCTAGATTTTCTCGCCAGGAAAACAGTTATTTATATTTTTGTTTACTCACATTCCTCAAAGTGTTGAAGAGTAAGATGAGGACCTTCAATTACTCCTTTCTAATGGGACATGACGATCTAATTATGAATTTTGCTCCCACTCACTTAGCGACAGCAAAACTAAGTCTAGTTAGAATGTACGCGGCCGCCCGAGACCCCGCATCCTGAGACACAGAGAATTTTTCGATGCACTTGAGCAAAGCCACAACATCTGTATCCAACTCTCACAGCGAAGAGAAAGAAAAGGGCAGGAACCCGTAACTAGCCGCCATGTACAAGTCCCGATAATTAGCACACTTTCACCGAGCAGCATCAGCAACAACTCGGCTCGGCACAAAATCGGTCATCCCAGTCTGAGTCAAAGGTGAAGACCCAGTCAGATCAATACACACATCTCGCCCCATATCCCAGGAATAAAGCAGCAAATCCGCTATACGAAGGGGTCCGCCATGCCCATCAACCAAACCGATATCAACCTCCTTTCCGATAGAAATCCCAGACCTGTAACAGGTGTCCAGTAAGGTGTCTCGAACAAGGTTATGCTGATGCTTAATGCCCACAATACCAGCACATGACACAACATGATCCCCAAAGACATCACCATCAAAGACACGGTAACAACTAACAAGCAGAACAGGGCCTAGGCACCAAAAACTACAGGACAACCAGTCGATAACTGAGCAAAGTATGATATGTCCTTCCATTCATAGTTTGGCTCAACCCATCAATAGGAAAAACACGCAACCAATAAGAAGAGTGCGCACTCTGCTGTAACTTCCACAAAACAACCTGACGCGTAGTCAACGAGAAAACAAAATATGAAGTTGCAGCAACCTTCGCGAAATATATGTCTGCCAATTTCTTCATAAGTTTAGGGGTAGCAACTTCGCTAGGGGGGCATGTCCACATAAATGAAAAGGGAAGGTGGCAAGTCGCCACTGCCAATCACCGAACCCTGGACCAAAAGTAGTGACAATACGTTCTAAACTAGAACCCAGGCCCAGAAGCAGTGACAATACGTTGTAAATTAGAATGAAGGGCTGTGTTAAAAGAGAGCTGGGTCGGCCCAAAAACAAGAGGGGAGCAAGTACGCAAAGTAGAGTTTTGAAATACCAGTGCAAGCCCGAAGCAAACACAACTCACATTGTGGGTCATCAATCCATGCAACCAAGTCCATCAGCTCGACGGTCATGGTAACTCTCTTCGCCATGAGGTCAATGTTAAAATCAGGACAAGTATTGACAGGCCCACCAGAACGGTGACACTATGTGAAGGTCGAGCAATAGAGGCTGGAAAAACACCCAAAATTCGACTTCTAGGATACTCAGTAGGCCAAAAAATCTCTTTCTTATCCACATTTAGGTGAAGCCCAAAACGAGGGCCAATCAGGTATATGACTTTCCCTACAACCAAAGTATCCCCACAATAGTGCCATCATCCAAGTACCAGGCCTGCAAAATCAGGTCAAACGAGTCTATGATCTTGCACACTAGAGGATACAACACCAAAGCAAAAAGCAGAGGGCCCAAAGGGTCCCCCTGCTGAACCCCCTGGTAAGACCATAAGTTATGCTCCCCATAATACAATCGAGTAGGGGTAGAGTAACAGAACTCTACCCATTGGGAAAGAACTGGGCATCTATGTCGAACTTCCTGAAGCATGGCCCAACGATCAACTAAATTGAAAGCGTTGTGAAAATCGACCATAATATAGAAAGACCAACGTCACCACCACGGGTCTCAACTAACCGGTTCAAGGCATGAAAAATAGCCTCTCCTCCACCAGAAATGCAACCCCAAACGAAAGACCATCAAAATAGCCAGATAAAGAAGGCCAACAAGACAAGCACCAACTTTAGAGACAATCCAAATAGTGCCAATAACTGTAGAACGGATACCACCCACTGGCTTAACACGTTGCATGAGCAGAGCGCTAACAATGTACTCACTAAGGATATGCGGGTATTGACCCTCAAGGAAAAGATTAACCACCCGGGTAATAGAGGCCACCAAATCATACGAGATAGCGATAGTGGCTCCACCCAGACAATCCATAAGATGTTGAGCTCAAAAACCATCCCTCCCACAAGGCGTACCACGAGGGAAGCTCCTAATCATATCCAAAATAGTAGCTGAAGAGGAAACAAGAGAATGATGATTCACAGGTAAAGTCGAAAGAGAGGGAGATGGGGCGACATGATGCTTATCTTGCAGAGCTACACAAGTGGCATGTAGGATAATAGACTATCAACAGTCCTCATCTAAGACATTAGGGGCTCAGAAGCGGATTAATTCATTGTAGCCATTCTTCTTCGTCCTCTACTCTCTCAGCGTCACACAATGTCATCCTGAATTTCCCACCTAAGGGATAGGATCGGTGATGGTGGTAGCTCCGCCGACGGTGGTAAACGGAAAAGGAGCTCCGGCGAGAAGACTTACAGAGTGGTGCTTTCCTGTCGCTGGTGGAGTAGGGATAAGAAAAAGATTATGGTCTTCAGGGACTCTAATGGGGAAACTAAGTGAATACTTAACACTCTACTTGTGTTATGGGCTGTTTTTTTATGCTTCCCTGTTTACAGATTTGATGGAAGCTGATCCCACCTTCGATGCCCGCATAAAGCTGGGCAAGCGCCGCCCTCCCCCCGCCTAACTGGATTACGGAGAGACTTGGAGGAGTTGGTGTCTGTGATTGTGAGGCTATGTGGGCTGCTGAAATACAGTAACATGCATGGTGTTTGTTTCTTGTAAGCCTATTCCCGTAGGTCACAAGGGAATAATTGTGGCCCAGGTGTAATGATCACTTAATGGTTTAATATATAAGATAAATCCTATATTGATTAGGTTCATGAAAGGTAAATTCCTAATATACGGGTTTATATAAAGAAGCCCTAGAATTGGTACTCTCTCAACCCATAACGTAGAATTTCTTAGCCGTCATAGAAATCTCTAAACCTAAAAATATAAAGGGGTCAAGAGGGAGAAACTCAATTCCGGTGATTACTACTCAAGCCATTGTCGCCGCTCTCGTCATGGATCGAGGTAGGTTTCCTTGATATATTATTAATTCATGAAATCATCTAATTCTAAGATCCATGCTATTATGATTTATGTTTACATGTGGTATAAGAGTCTTAGGTTTACATGAATAGATTATTTTTCGATTATGTCAGTTTTCCGCTGCTGCGATTAGCTTCATCCAAAATTATCGAAGCTACTGTTTGTTATTGATTAAGTGCGTCGATGACCAATCTGCTTAATAAAATTTCATCGGCGTCTTTTGTTTCATGGAGTGCTTTGCTGAATTTCATATTTTATTTGCTTTGCCATTTTATTATCACTTCTATGCTTTAACAAATTCCATTAGTTTTCCTGTTGCTATTTATTGGCTTCAAATTGTTGAATAAATTTATGAGATGTGTTAACAAAGTCCTTGTGTTTGTGTACGGAGGTTGTACCTCAAATATAATATGTTTGAGTTTCCCTGATATCGATTATTTATTCAACCTATTAGAAATGATAAATAAGGAGTGTCTAATTTTATATTTTATTATTTTGATAGAGTCTATTAGTATATTGGAGGTAACCTCAATTTTGTCGTTTGCTCTAAAATTTTGATGGTCCCCTCTTAGCTGAGTTGTTAGTATATAGTTGACTAAAATCAACAACACTCCATTTTTTTTGGATTAGTGGCATATTGTTCCTAAAAGGAGAGCATTCAACCCTTTATGTAGGACTGTAAGGTTTAAGATTTAATTTCAAACTATCTAAGGGTTGTGTGGAAATTCCACTGAGTTTTTTATACTCTATCTTTCTTGACAATCCACTAATCAATAGCATTTTACAGGGGGCTTAATTATCATTATGAAAATGGGGTGACCCATACGTTTTTATATTTTATATTCTTAAATGATGATGATATTTCTCCAAAAGTTCGACTTATATATTCTTTCTTTATGTATCATCTCGATCAAATGATTGTCAATAAAATTAAATGGGTCGATAGACTTACACGTAACATAAAAATATTAATAATCAAATATGAACATTCCAGTTAACGGGCCGGGTTATAAGCTAGTAATCAAAAGAACCAAACTTTCTCACCTTTTTCTCTTACCACAAATCAAAACCACCAAACTTCCCCGTTGTTTCTTTTCTCAAAATTCCAAAGCACCAAATTTGACTCTTCTTTCTCTTTCCAA